ACCGTGGGTGTGGCCAACCCTCCCTGCCCTGGTGACGAGATCAACACAGGACTGAGTGACCGTGGGAGCGGCCGACCCTCCCTGCCCTGGTGATGAGATCAACACAGGACTGAGTGACCGTGGGTGTGGCCGACCCTCCCTGCCCTGGTGACGAGCTCAACACAGGACTGAGTGACCGTGGGAGTGACCGACCCTCCCTGCCCTGGTAATGAGATCAACACAGGACTGAGTGACCGTGGGAGTGACCAACCCTCCCTGCCCTGGTGACGAGATCAACACCGGACTGAGTGACCATGGGAGTGGCTGACCCTCCCTGCCCTGGTAACCAGACAACACAGGACTGAGTGACCGTGGGAGCGCCAACCCTCCCTGCCCTGGTGACGAGATCAACACCGGACTGAGTGACCGTGGGAGCGGCTGACCCTCCCTGCCCTGGTGATGAGATCGACACAGGACTGAGTGACCTGGGAGTGACCAACCCTCCCTGCCCTGGTGATGAGATCAACACAGGACTGAGTGACCGTGGGTGTGGCCGACCCTCCCTGCCCTGGTGATGAGATCAACATAGGGGCCAAGCTGCCCTGCCCCTGGTGAGTGTGGCTGGAGGGGAAACAGGGCCCCCCAAACAGCAATGACTTTCCAGAGGCACTAACTAGAAAACCTAACATAAATCAAAAAGCTGAAGCCACTGTCATGCCAAATGACTATCAGTCAGTGGCTTTTAAGCAGCAGCTATTTATTGAACATGGAAAAGAATCCCAACAAGATCCATCCTCCTCGGTCTCTCTGCCCTGCCCAGCCCAGCCCGCTCTTCACAGAGCAGACGGAGCACTTCAACAGGAGTGGTGATCACAACACCGTCAAGCCCAAAATCCACCACGAGCTTCCAACCAGCCTCATAGGAAGCCCAGGACAGGGCCTGTGCCCTGGCCACAGCCTGTCCCCTGCTCCCTGCTCTCAGGCCCGGAGCCCCATCCTGAGATGGCATAAAAAATACAATGAGTCCTTGTCCCTGGTTCCATGAACAGACCTCCTAAAACCCTTTAAACTTCCTGAATGAACAAATACAAAATTTTACTAGAAAAGCAGAATAACAGTGTAATGGTATTAACAAAGAAATATAACAGAAATTCTAAAATTGGAAAAAAAGAAAAAGAAACCAATTTCCTGAACTAAAATATCCCTGTATGGGAACAACAGGGGCAGGCAGGGAACCTGGAGACAGAGCAGCAGGCACCACTCAGTCTCAAGACCGAGGGGAAACAGGAGGGACTCAGAGCCTCAGGCGGGTGGGACAACATCAGCAGGTCTACATGGAACTGGAGGCCCAGAAGGAACAAAGCACAAGAGTGAAGCAGAATAATATTTGGAGAAATAATGACCCAAAATTTCCCAAATTTGGTTTAAGAATTAGAAAACCACATTCAGGATAATCATTGTCAAACTGCTCAAAATCAAGCATTAAGGAGGATCTGGAAAGCAGTCAGGGGAACAGCCACCCAGAGCTGTGCTGTCAAAATGTGACAAAGGCTGTCACTGGGTGGCTGGGGACACAGCCAAGGTCACAGACAGGGAGCGCCTCCTTCAACTGCTGAAGCTGAACACCTACACCCCGAGTACAGCAAAGGAAGGCAAGATAAAGACATAGTCAGATAAACAAAATCTGAAAAGGAGTTCCTTAGCCCGAAGGAAAACACCACCAGAAACTTAAATTTTCGGAAGAAAGAAAGGCACTGTACGAGGTAACGTCTGAGAAAACTAAGTATGGGCCGCACACGCGAGAAGGAAGCTTCCTGACGCAGAGAGGATGGAGGGACGGAGAGGCTCCGTCTTGGGGGTAGGGAGTCCCAAAGGAGACAGCAGGCCGCCCGTGGGGTGAGCAGACCATCTACAATAAGGCCAAGAAGTGACCCTTCTGGGCATGTGGGACACAGTTTCAGTCACAACCACAACACTGACACAGCAAACGCAGCATAAACAGCACATGAGTGAGGATGGCATGTTCCAGACACTGGTAGATAGTCGGAAGAGGGAGGTGGCCCACAGACCACAGCTCACCAGGCCCTGGGCCTAACAACAAGCAGCTCTGAAAGGTCCTGCAGGAGACTCGGACCTGCGTCTGAACAGTGGCACCTGATGAGCCATGAGAATACAGAAGCACAGCACAAAAACACCAAACTGGCAGCCTTGGAAACGGAAAACACAAAAGCTTTCAATACTCATGATTCATTCTCTGATAGAGCAGAGAAGGGCAACAGGTGGTGAGGAAAGCCGGCCTCATATATTCCAGTTCACCACAGAACTCCATCGCTGGGAGCCACGAGGCAGGAATTTAAGGAACTTGATCAAATAGCCACACCACATTCAGAGACAGAATCCAGACCAAGGCCTTATCAGAGGTCTGACATCATGCCTGTTATTACCACCTTTCAATTCATTTTTTTAAATCAGTAATGCAAGCACATGCTGCTATAGAGCCCAGCAGAGGTATGGCAAAAGTTATTTTTTAAATGCACTATATTAATTTATTTAGACAGCATTATCCACAGCCAGTAAGAAAACAGAAGTGAACATTTACTCCCATTTTGTACACAAAATGGCCCCCTGCGAAGACCTCAAGTTGTTAGCAAATGGTCTTTGTTGGCCAAAAGAACAGCAATGTGATTCCCAACTATTCTTTCACAGTCAGGTGATTCACTTTATGCAAAACAAAAATGCTGCAAAAAGGAAAAAGAATGTGAGTTTCTACTTGAAAGCCATAATTTAGTTTCTTTGGCATTCATCTTTCTTTGCTGTCCAGTATAAAGTGCTTGACAAAACCCTGAAATCCAGCCAGAAAGCTAAGGGACAAACCTATCATCCTCATGGGTAAACCATCACCAATTCAAAGAGCTGTTGGAGCAAAAGGCAGCTCCTCCCTCACCACTGCCAAGACTCAGACACAGCTGCAGGGAAGACCAGAGAACCATCAAAGTTTAACAGAAAAAAGCATTCTTATGTTTCTGGTGGTTCTAAAGATAAAAATTAAAATAAAATGTGTCACTTTCCTATATTAAATCCACAGTTAAAATCTATAGCTTTTCATGTGCATCACTGTTTTTCTGTTTTGTTTTTGAGACAGAGCCTCACTATGTCGCCCTCGGCAGAGTGCTGTGATGTCACAGCTCACAGCAACCTCAAACTCTTGGAGGTTGACCCACAGGGAACTGTGTTAAAGGGCCATGGCATTAGGAAGGTTGAGAATCACTAGTAAGCGATTCTCTTGCCCGGCTATTTTTTGTTGGAGTTGTCATTGTTGTTTAGCTGGGCTGGGCCGGGCTTCAACCCACCACCCTCGGTGTATGTGGCTAGTGCCGTGACCACTGTGCTACAGGTACCAAGCCATGCATCACTGTCTCCCAATACCTAGGAGGCACCTAGCAAGTATCCTTTAATGCCTAATGTAAACAAAGAACATAAAATTGTCACACAGAAAACACTGACAGTTGATCATCTGGAACATGCCTCGACCCCTGAAAAAGAAAATGCTGGAAAAGACAAAACCAAGCCCCTCGACATTAGCCCGGCATGTTCTATGTACTGCAAGAAGCATTTCCTCAATTCCTTGAAGGTCTCCCCTGGCAGCACACAGGACATGTGAGGGGCTGAGCCGCATGACACCCTCGCAGTCCCCCAGGTGCGTCTCTTCTCTTGGGAGCAGACCCCTCTTCCCTGCTCTCGCGACACAGAACACCTGCAGCGTCACGCACCGTGCCAAGGAAGTCTTCCCCTTCCCTGAAGGTCTCTGCTATGAAAACTAGACAGTCTGAAATACAGCTGTGACTATAAAAGCTGATCTACCTGATAGATTTAAAGGGTAACCTAGTTTGCATCTTTAGAAATGTGAATTCTAAAATTATGTTAAACTTGATACTTTAAATACCAACTACATCCATCTGGGTATTGCAGTTTTCAGATTCTTACTTACTTGGTGCATTCTTCTAAGGACTGTACGAGCATTTGCTGGAAAGAACATATTTCTTCTAGATTTCCCATTAAATATGAAGTGTTTGCTGAACTTAACCTAGAGCCAAGAAAAATAACAGTAAAAATACGTGAACGATTTTACTTATATTGTTCTCCTCTGCCATATAACGGCCTACTAAAAGTCTTAACCTAATAAACAAGTTGTTTAAATTAAACTGGTACACTGAATTCTATTCCAGATTTCACCCTCTATTTTCTGAAACAACAGAACAGCCTAAGGTGAAGACTATGTTACAATTAATGCAATTTTCCATCTAACTTACTTCTCACTGGTCTGCAAAGGCCGCAGATAGGTTGAAAGCACAGTCTGAAGTTCTTTAGAATATTCATTTTCTGTTTCTAAAATATTCTGTAGCACCTAAAATAAATGATGAATAAGTGTTACTTGACATTTCAGGTGTTATCAGACACTAAGATTTATAACCTGTGGAAAGTTCATCAGCATTGTTCAGTTTATACGGCGGTCTCCATGCATCACTCATGTGTTAACGTCATCCCTCCTCATGACCACTAATTACTACACCCACATACTGTATTGTTTGGAAGGCCACACAACTGACTCTACTTTACTGCCAACCACATTTGACACAATATCCCCAGAGCAAGGCAGGAATGAATTCCATTACCAGATAAGCAAGGCCAAGTCACCGTCTGGTCCATTTATTTTTTAGCTCACTGCTTATGAGAATCTGAGCCGGCTCTATTTAGATAAGGAGGAGGAATTGCTGACAGTCTCAACAGCATGGCCCAGCCTCTGCAGCATCAGGCTGTGCAGAAGACGCACAAAGATTTTTGAGATTCCTCAAAAGTCCCCAGTCCCAAACACTCACTGACTCACCCACGCACTTACCAACAGAAGCTATTACACTAAGTCTTCAAGTTACAAATGTCTGACTAATGTGTTGACTCGCATCACGAACAGAGGCTGCTACAGGTAATAGGTAAGTGTGCTTGGTCCAACTTACACACAAATTCAACTTAAGAATAAACTCACAGAACCTATCTCATCTGTAACTCAGATACTGCCTATATACTAGGTCCAAGCGCAATCAAAGCTTACCTACCATGACAGCAGTCAGAGAAAACTGGGGGGAGGGGGCCGTGCGGGGAGGGCAGAAGATGCACGGGTGTTAAGTTCTTTGTTTTGATTTACACATTTGTCAAAGCTCATTAAGCTGTACCTTTAAAATCTGTGCACTTTAGTAATATAAACTCTCTACTAAAAAGCAAAGTTAATTCCTAAAGAACTAAAAATCTAAAATCTATTTCTGGAAACTAAAGGCTTTCATTAAAGAATATGACAGTCTCAGATCACCCTACACACTATATTTATTAAAGATTTAAGGTCTATTAATCAACTGTTAAATAACCACTACTTTATTTAAAGATAGCAGAATAATTATAAATAGACCTTAAAATTAAAATGTTTCCTGATATCCTGTATTATAGCAAATTTAGTCAAAGTTAGTTAAGTCTTAAAAACTGACAAATATAAAGTACAAAACAGCTGGAATAAAACATTCACGTTCTCACCAGTAATCACGGACACCAAGGGCACCTCACAGGGTGGGACAAGGCGGCACCAGATGTGGGCACAGGTGTAAGAGTGACTGTGGTCACCAGGCTAGGTGCCCTGCATGAGCTACCCTAACCCTGCACACACATTTCCATCCAGAGAGGCTATCCCAGCCCAAAGGAAACAGCTGGCACAGAGCAGAGCCTGAGTGGCCCTGGGTCCTGGTTCTGCAACACCTTACAGGCCTTCTCTATATGAGGCTAAGAGCAGGAGCAAGGCCCTGCACCCGGCCAGAGTGCAGAGTAAGACCCTCCCTCGGCCGCTGCCCTCCACAGAGCCAGGGCCCTCCACGTCAGGACCTACCGGCTCTGTCTGCGTGTCAGCGGCACACACCAGGACACGCTGTCTTCCAAAGCTGCCAAAGCTCTCTAAGTCAACCACACACAACAAACGGCACAAAGTAATAAGCATGTGAAGCTCTCAGTCTTCTACTCATGAGTTCTGATAATGCAAAACACTAATTCAAACACTTTTAAAGAAAAACATCACCACATTGGATTTAAACTCCAGCCCGGACAGACACACGGTGGATGTGCTGTTCGCTGCTGCTCTCTGTGCTCTGAAGTGCAGCGATTTGCGAGTAAATGCAAACTTGACTACATAACTTGCAGACTAAACTACCTAAAACCCAAGAAGCTCTTCCCCTAGGGACACTGAATCCAACACCTCCCTGAATGGGGCTGTTCTTGGCCCAGACACTGGGTGAGCAGAAGAGGATGAAGCTCGCTGCTTTGTGGGGAAATGTGGATGCTGATCTCACTGTCACAATGCCCTCCCTGTAAGAAGCACTCGCTGAGCACAAATGCCAGAGGCCTAGTGGACAGAGGGACACACTGTGACACTGGCCACTACATCAAAACATGCTTCAAAAAACAGAACTGATCCCTCAAAGAGCCCAAGAAGTAAGTGGCAGAAGGGGACCCCAAACTAAAAAGAAGAGTAAATCAAAGTAGAATCTGTCACAGATATATAATCAAAAACATTCTTTTCCAATGTGAAACCAAAGAGGAGAAACATGGCTTAGTTTATGGATTACAAATGCCAGATACCTACCAAGCCAGTGCTTAGCGCACATGCCTAAAAACTGATACACCTGTGTTTTCCAACAGAAAAACATTCCTGTGTGTACAATAAGGAAAACAACCACTAGGAACCACTGTGAACAGACACAGAAGAGTCAAACTCAGTAACATTTCTCAGTCACAGCACTAAGCATAGTATGCAGAGAGAGAGGTTTTTTGTAAGAATATACCAGAAACAATTCCAAAGAACCCGCTGCCAAAAGGCTAGACTCGTTAAAATAGATACATTGGTTAATCTCAAATACTAGTCTTAAACACTATTTTCAAATAGGTGCTGAAAACGTCTATTACACTCCCAACCAAACAGTGCGGCTACATGTGGCTCTTCCACAAACACGCAGCCAGGCTGGCTCGCTGGCTCAGGCTTGCACGACCATCCCCTCCATACCTGCCCTCCTGCCCTCAGCAGTGTACCCATGGGTGCTGGCCATCACCTTTCTGCTCCTCCTGGCCTTCTGAGCACTCTGGCTGCTGCAGGACCCCATGAGACAGCCCCGTCTGGCCACCACAGCTCCATCACACAAAGGCCGGGGGCCCAGGGACACACACAGGTTTCAGGAAAAAGCTGCCTTTGCAATCGCAGCCTGCCGGCCCAGAGAGCTGAGCTCAGCCGGCAGGAGCCTCCCGTCCCGGGCGGAGAGTCAAGTCCAGCCGAACAATGGTGCCACTCAGGGGGTGGGCGGCACCGGTCACGCCACACAGACAATCCCTACACTGTCGGCCATCGAGCAGAGCAGGACAGAGGGACTGGCTCTTCCACCTCTCGAGCCCAAAGGCTCTTCTTTATCAGCAGCACCATAAAGGAGCATTTCGTGTGAGTTCATGACACCAATGAGCTATAGCTGTCACCACAGATGCTGACAGGTGTCACATGATTTAATTTTTTAAATTTCATATTAATATGAGGGCACATACAATTAGGTTACATTGTTTGTGTTTGTAAGGTTAAGTTGCAGGTGTACCCTCTACAGGGGCACTGTCCTGGCAGGTGGGAACTAGCCACACCCTCCCCGCCCAACGCCAGCTGGAGTTTTCCCTCACACGTGCACGTTGTTGATGGACATGTCCACCACGGAACACTGCACAGGTCTGATCATGCATCATCAATGCTTCCTTTTGTTACTCAAGTAATTATTTCACATTCCATCTCAGATAAAAGATTATCATCATCCTAAACTAAAACCAAATTTCCACACCATGATCCTAATGCTTCAACATAAGAGGACAAACTAAAAACTGGCACAAAACCTCTTCCACCCTCCCTGCCCACTGCCTCGACAGAAAAGCCATCGTATAACCCTCTCCTTTCACTACGGTCTTCTTAAACTTTTAAGTATTTAAATTTTCAAAAAATCAATTATAAAACAAGACCTCACCAGTCATAGCCTCTAATAAACAGGTAGCTACAGGTACGGAAGGGGGTGAAAGGGCTGTCAATCAAGACAAACCCCACGCCCTGCAAGCTCCATAAGCCTCACAGCTCACAAGGATGCTCAGTAGCCAGGGACAGCCCCGCCCAGCAGTTACCAATTTAAAACAGTCTGTTGATTTCCACCTGTCCTCAGTAATTACTCAATACTTAATGACTACTTTAAGACATTAACGCTCAAAAAAAGACTTTGGAGGGCTGTGTAAATGTTTCTGATACTGCATCTTTTGGAAGAAATTATGTTATTATTGGGAATTCATAGGGTCTTGGGATAGGTTTCTTCCAAAAGTTTAACATTTACTAGATAACAGCTACTGTAAAAGCTTGCCAGTCCACCATGACACACGTCATAGAAGGAAGCTGACGTCTACAAACACAGCCCGTGCTGTGTGCACAGCGGCCTGCAGAGCCAGGCAAACCTGGGCTCACATCCTGCCCTGCCACTTGTGACCAGTTGCCACACAAGTCTACTGCTCTGTTTTCACAAAAGGAGTTTTAGTGAGTTAGGACAGTTATTCAAGTGTTAGTCTCTGACTAACCCAAAATCTGGAATCCTATTTGAGGCTTCTTTTTTTTTTTTTTTTTTTTTTTGCAATTTTGGCCGGGGCCAGGTTTGAACCTGCCACCTCTGGTATATGGGGCCAGCACCCTACTCCTTTGAGCCACAGGCGCGGCCCCCTAGTTGGAGCTTCTTGAATGAATCCTTTACTGAGGTAATGTTTTCACAAGAGAGCCTTTCCCTTGATTAAACAACTCAATTATTCGTTCATTCAACAACACACTTAGCTCCTTCTCTGTGCCGGGCTCCTGCTACTACCTGGAGACCTTTATCTACGTATCTTAGTCTATGTGGAAGAACAAAATTATATAAAAAGCAATGGGGGACAAAGTCTATTCAAGGAGCCAGCAGGCACCTGCCCATACACAATGCAGGTGAGATGTAAAGAGGAGGGGTCCTCTCGGGAATTAAGCAGCACACGCCCCCAGCTTCTCAAGTTCCCTAATAATCCACCCATCCACCCACAGACCCCAAGCAGAGGCTTCATCTGTCATAAGATTTAAAACAGCAGTTCTCAACCTGTGGGTCTCGACCCACAGGAACTATATTAAAGGCTCGCGGTATTAGGAAGGTTGAGAACCACTGATGTAAAAGGAACCATGGGTTAAGGTAGAGAAAAGTAAAGAGCAAAACGTAAGATAAAACGGAACAAAACCAAGGTTGAGATTAGTGCTGAGGGAGGGAAGTAAGTGTCCTGCTGCCAGTGGGGGTC